GGGGGGGGGGTGCCACCCTCTCTGACTGTATCTGTGACCAGGTCCTTGTCCTGAGCCTGAGATTGCTCTTCCAAAGCCCTTTGCCCCTGACTCTAGACCCAACATTTCTGCTTCACTTCTTTCCTGTTTATCTTTGCAATTTGGTGGGCTCTGTGCGTATAGCAACCCCCTCGAATCAAAGTCTTGGGCAAGACTGGCATCAGTCTGGAAAGGTGATCCCAGCCCAGGGGAACCCATGCAGCAACTGGAATTCTACCTTTGCTTCTGTTTTTGGAAGCCGCTATCTGCTGCATTTTCGTGCTTTATCTTGGTGGGATGAATGGAGCAAGTGCAGAAAAGAGGCCTCATGACAGTTGTGCAAATAAGGAAGGGAATGCTTTCCTAGGGCAGAAGCCAGGTCTTCCCCACATCTTTTCCCATGAAGGCTAACCACCTTTCGTGCCCTATTATCACGCTCTGTGATGCCCAGAGTGGATCCTTCTCCCACATGGCCAGTCCCAGCTACCTGCCACCTGCCTGTTTCACAAACTCTGGACTCCACACTTCCTGAACTTGAACCTACCCCCAGGCCCCTACAGAACACAGGTGACTATCTGAAAACGCAGCTGTCTCTCTCTCCCCTTAGGCGTCTCAGGTGGGTGCCAAAGACAATGCACTCAGTTCGACAAAAAGCCGGTGGATTGAGTCCGTTCAGAGGTGTCTCAGAAGGGAGGTGATCTACTCCAACACCAGCTACTGAGAGCGCGGTGGAGGCCAGTTCTGCTCTGAGCCACCTGCGGCCATCAGGAGTTGGAGTCCACTTGGCAGTAGCTGGGTTCTCTCTCCTCCTTCTCTAGTGCTGCTTAATACTGACCTGAGGGGCCTCGCCAGTAGGAGACCCTACTGTCCAGGGCCCCTTCTAAGCTGACCAGTGCTGGTCTACAGGCTGCAGCTCATACATCTTTGTTCCACCCTCGTTTTTAGATCGGAAACCAGTGTCTACACACTTGCCTCTGGCTAGAACATCCTCCTCGCCGGCTGAGGAAGAGCAGCTCATGGAAGCCCTGGAGCAGCTGGCACAGAGATTTAAATAGGGCCGGCCAGACAACAGGACCAAATCGCCTTCAACATGGAGACGGTGCTGCCAGTCAGCAGATTCCACTTCCGCCCCCTCTGAACCCCACCCCTTAGCAAGGAGGCACCTACTGGAAATGGAACTAGTTATTTAAAAATAAACACAACTAAAATAAATATGAAATAATAAAATACATACAACGGAGCCTGTGAACAAGCTCACTTTTTCCTGCTGAGAATGTGGTTCTCACTAAAACGGCCAATCAGAGGGGGCACAGGGAATGCAGGAAGGGTGGGGGGCGGTGTGTGTGTGGCCTGTGACCCCTCCTATTTCCACTCTTCTGGTGACCGAGGCTGACCACTGTGCATGTGGATGCTTTGGTCTGCCTTTGCCATCCATGTTGTCAGAAAGAAGCAAAATCATGAGAAAATGAGGATTAAACAAGCAACGGTGGCCTCGTGTACCCTTGCTTATGATTAGGAGGAGCTTACTTTAACACACTTGGCATTCTTGTGGTCCAGTTTGCTATACTGTCCACACCATGCCATTTTACCTCTAAGTGAACACTGTAATTAAATCCGCAGATTTAGAAGTATCTGCATCGTCTTGGGGTTCAAGGTGAAAGGAAGCATATCTTCACAGCTGAGGGAAGCCTAGTGGGCTTCTAACAGACTGTTTAGAAACAGTCTAACGGACTGCTTCTCAGTGTTGCCCAATCTCCTCAACGGACATGTCGGCTCACTCTCCCTGGGAGGGGTTACTGCTGGGTACACCTGCCTAGAAAGTAGTGTCCTTTCGGGGGGAGGGGGGTGGGGTACTATCCTTGGGCTCATTCACGCAAGAGTTAATGTATTCAATTATTAGAGAAAAGGCTAGTGCTTTGAGTGCATTCAGAGATTGTCTCAAAAGATAGGTTTGCGGATCCATTTCCATAACATAAGCTAGTGAGAACTCCGTGGAGCACCCCTCTACTTGGACACACAGGGACCAGCATGCAGGGGAGACCACCAGGCGTCTGTGACTATCTGACCCCTTTCTGAGGGACAAGGCGAGTGGTCCGCAGTCTGGAGACGGGCGAGGTTACAGCCTCCAGAGGCAGGCTATGGAGGGAGTCGGCTCCCCGGGCAGAAAGCTTACTGTGGAGGCCAAGCCAGCGACTCCCTTCCCGGGCTGTTCCACACTGAGCAGGTCACTTGGTTTCTACACGCCCAAAACGGGTCTCATGAGAGGCTTGTACCTGAGAGCGCTTCCTGGCTGTACATGCTCTTAACGTCCTCTTCTTGTTGGAAAGTTCGTGAACCACAGGTTCAGCACGTTGGGGAGATAGGCACTGAAGTGCGGGGTGAGCACCTTCCTTCTTGTTCAGTTGACAACAGTTTTTGTACTTTTCAAAAAATATTTTGTAGGTGAAGACAGAGTAAGAAATAAATGGACTAGGTGACCGCAGGTTCTTGGATGGTACAGTTTGTGTTCGGTTACTCACTGGAAGGTTGGGAGACAGGCCTGGTGATCTAATTTATAACAGCCCATGAAAACCTCATGGGGCAGTCTGTCATATGAGCTCACCACGAGTTGGAATGGCCTCAACGGAAGTGGCTTGGTGATGGCGGTGTTTGTTTTCACAATGGCCACACCCCACTTGCTGCTCTTAGAGGCTGTGGGGAGTGGCTTATGTTGGGCTCTAGAATGAACCTCTCTTTGGGGTCCAGACAGTTGGAAACTCATCCACAAGCCTAGGTTTGCAGCACCTACAAGGGAACCCCTCTGGGTGGGGCAGCCAGGGACTAGATAGTTGAGTTCGCTCTGCAACAACAAAGGGAGGATGGCTGCAGGACGGTGTCTGCAAAGATTTATTTTAAATCACAGAGGCAACTTTGCACTGAGAGTCTTCTACAGGTACAATCTGGGCCGAGAGAAGCACATTGGAGAAGCGGGCAAAGACAATGTTCAGCAGCATTTGCATATAGAACTGGATGCGGACACCATAACACAGGGTCTATAACATGCATCATTAGCATGGAAGCACATTCAGAGTCCAGACTCAGTGGTCTGGTGGGTGGGATCTAGTAGTAGAGAACACGGAAATGCTAAGCGTATTTCAGTTAGAACCACATTTGAGAAAACTTTTCCAACTTCAGGTTTATGACATTCTCAGTCCAGTCCCTTGGAGAATGTCCTTATTTCAAAACAAAGGGAAAGCTATTTGTAAAGGAACACACTCACTGCAGCCAGGGTAGGACGTGGGCCACAGACTTGCCCAACGTGCTGAATGAGCGAGCCCATGCGTGGCTTATGGGTACAGTGGGGAGATAGGCACTGAAGTGCGGGGTGAGCACCTTCCTTCTTGTTCAGTTGACAACAGTTTTTGTACTTTTCATAAAATATTTTGCGAAACAATAGTACATTGGAAAAGAAGTCATTTAAAAGCAAGGCCAATGACATAAAAGCACAATTTATAAAAGTACAATGGTTAACAGTGACACATACGTTTTGGTCCATATTTCATATTGGCATATGCTACTGATATAAGGCTGCCACCCATTTAAATAAAAGCATGTATACAAGTAAAATACTTTTTCTACAATGCTTTTCTTTTTTATTAGTTAGACATCACCCTCTCATGCTTCCCAGAGAACCAAGGGTGGGGGGGAAATGGGAACGGGAGAGAAAGGGTCATCCACATCAAGACTGGATCAGATATGTCGCCTGTATGTAATCCAGCTTGTGATCCCGACATGTCCTCTCCTGAGAAAGCCAGCTATTCTTTTGACTTGTAAAGGTGAACATTGAAGGTGGCTGGTTTTAAGTCTACCTTCATTACCTTTCTCTAAACCTAATCGACTAGGCTTCTGATGAAAAAAATCCAGAAAGCAATCCACGGATATGGCAGAAAATAACAAAAGCAAGCAGTATGCTCTCGTGGAGCTGAGTGAAGTAACCCATGTGGATGAAAGACAGGGGTAATGGTTTTGACTCATCCAATGATAGAATGGAATCATAGCACCTCGGGACTGGAAGAGCCCTTCAGAACAATCACCTAATGCTTCGGACCGGGGCCATCGGCTGTCTGCTCATAATTCCCTGGCACAGTAAACACAAAGGCGCCCAGCCCGTTTGGGCCAGATCTACGTTTTCATGAGTGTTTGTGTATTAAACCTACGGAGGCTTCTCTGAGGAAAGGTTCCTGTTCACAGACAAGAAAGCAAGCTGCAAATCTTGAGGGTTGTTGAGCATGTGGTTCTTGGTGCAACTAAACAAACAAACAAACAAACAAACTCACTGCCCCTGAGTCAATGCTGACTCACGGTGACCCTATCAGACAGGGTAGAACTGCCCCTGTGAGTTTCCGAGACTGTAACTCTTTACAGGAATAGAAAGGCCCATCTTTCCCTCCCCCCCACCCCCGCCCCAGTGGCTGGTGGTTTCAAACTACTGACCTTTTGGTTAGCAGCCCAATGCATAAGCATTACACCCCCAGGGTTCCTTCTTGGTTACAAACCTGAGCTCAAGTTTAATACACACATAAAAGCAGCTATATTATGGATATGTGATACTTGGGCACAGAAAACAAAGGCACATAGATGTAATAGCAAGACAGAATTTGCTAAGTTCCCATCATGGAAGCTGAGGGTGGGCCACCCTCTGTTGGCTCAGGCCTCCCAGACAGGAGCTGTTCAAAGGCCGTTTTCCTGTAATGAGTTGCGAAAAAACTGAAGGTTCCGCTTGCTAAGGGCTACTGTGGGGAGGACTGATCACATTCCTGCAGGAACAGCCCAGGCCAGAGGAAGAAACGGCGGCAGCAGTTGCCTGCTCCCGCATGCAGACACTTGATGCTGCGAGTCAGCGCAGCCTCACAGCTGTCTAGAACAATGCCCTGCTGTCACTCTTCAACGTCTTCCCTTTAACCAAGTGAGGCAGTTGTGACCTGCCCACCTATAAAATTAAGTAATTAGTATCTAAGTTCCTCCTGGTCAAGGTCAACGGTATGCAACGGTCCACGGTTTCCCCTCAATAGCCTGCACCAAAGGGTTGCGCACACTCACAGTAAGTTCCAAATCAGTTACTATATGCATTATCAGATAACCGTGCTAGGCCTTTACAAAGCAAAAGAAACTGTTGTTGGCATTGGGACAGGAAGCCTGGCGTGGGGTGATGCAGACCGCGTTATTCTCAGCAGCTAACAGTAACAAGAAGCGAGGCTCCAGGACTGCAGACTAGGCTCTTGACTTTCCCTGGCAACTCCAGAGCCCCTGTGGTCCCAGAGCACACGAAGCTGATTCCAGATGTTGGGCCTTCTGATCGCCGGACTCCCTCCTAGTCATCTTTGAATTCTGCTCATAACTCCCTTCCTCTGTGAAGCTCCTTCAGCTGGGTGAGAGGGCCCCTGCGCAGCTCTTGGGGTGGCCACGGGCCCAAATACACCTTCACACAGTGCTGAGATGATCCATTTACTTGTCGGATTAGGCCCTGACACCAGGCCAGGCAAGGAATGTCAAGAGCCTTGGTAACTCCATTGCCAACTTCAAAGCCTAGAATCTCAAGCAGTGCTCAAGATGGACTGAATCTCTGTGTTCTACAATCAAGTTGCCAGACATTCGCTTTTTTTTTTTAATCAGGAAAAGAAACAAGTTAAAATTATTTTAAACATGGGTTTTGACAAAATACTTTAAAATATAAGTCCTAATGAACAGTCATTTACATACAATTAAACTACTATGAAAAGAGAAAATCAAATAAATCTCATTCAATGAATATGTCTAGTAATTTCCACACATAGTTTGGAGCTATACTTTTGCTTAAAAGTCAAAATTAGGGCTTTACAAATTGCTTGGTGTTAAGCAAATACAAATGAGGGTTTTACAAAGTGGAGCTCAGGAGACAAACAGGTGATGCTCTATCAGAGGGCAGATGCGGCAGGCCTGAAGCCCACTCCAGGTCAAGTGGAGGGGTATTTTCAAGGTTCCAGATTTCCACTTAAATGTTACCAACATGCTAGCCTATAGGGAAAGTGCAGGAAGGGCCTATGCCCTTGCTACGGCCTTGTTAAGGGCCTGTGATGTTGCTTCATTGCACAGTTGCTTGCGACTTCATCGCATAGGACCCACCTATATTTACTGATGAGGGAATTCCCCAGGGATCACACAAGGCTCTGGAAGCAATGTTCAAAACCAACCGTTCCTTAGGATTTTCCTTCTAGATTTGTTTATACCTCAGTAACATCTGCCTGTCTAGGAGGAAGGCTGTGCACTCCCAACACTCAAGATTCTTGAAGATCCCTTCCAACGTTGTGGTCTTGTTTATGAGGTTTGAATAATTCAAACAATTAAATGGGAAATGCACCTTGAAACATGGGAAATGCACCTTGAAACTTGATCATGGTTGATTGACCTCATACAAAAGGAGCCAAGATTCGAGGTACTTAATCTAAAACCACGTTTGCCACTGTGGAGAACACCCAGACTTCCGAAGGCGCCAACCAAACTGTCCCTTTGGAGAAACTGAGAGGAGAGTGACTGGTCTTGTTCTGTCAAATAAGAGAACAAAGGCTACACATATAATCTGAACAGTTGGTCGTTTTCCAACATAGCACGTCAGGCATTGCTTGCCAGATATGTTTAAGTGATAGAACAAAAACATAGGTCAAGTGCAAATGCAAGAGGGCAAACTAAGAAGTATAAGAATTGAGACAAGAGAAAAGCCAAATGCTGGGGTCTGTTTCCACTCATAAGGAAGGAAGGTTTCATTCCCATAAATGCTTAGGAGACATTCGATACCAGTAAATATTGCTATAAGCCACAAATATGGTGGAGACACTTACAGTACAACTCAAGAATTCATAGTATTACAAGTGACTGTTTGCTAAGTGATTTTCTCCAAATTCAAGCATGAACACCAGATGAGGAGAAAAAGGCAAGGCAATGGCAATGTTGACCTATCTCCAGTTTCTGAGCGTGGCTCTGATCACCAAAGAGAATTCAACTGGCCTGGCTCTGTGGACTGGGGCACAGCCATGGCTAGAGCCAAGTGCAAAGTCACAGACTAGAGTAGCCATGATGTACACATAGGATTCAATGGACCACAGACTAAAGTATAACCATAGAGCATACCTGGCATCCAATGGATCATAGACTAATCATGGTATACACATGGGATCCAATGACTAGAGTAACTATAGTGTGTATGTGGAATCTAGTGGGTCATCGATTAGAATGAGCTAGGTATACACAATGGGGCAACCAGTTTCTGGGGTTAGGCCTGAGTCTTCCGGAATCATGCAAGGCTTGCCAGGAGCTTGATCTCCTGCCTCTCTAACGCTGCCTTTCCCTGTCTGTATAAAGGCCAGGCACCAAAGCTTTGGAATAGAAACCATCAATTCATTATTGTTTCTCATTTCTAATGCATAGTCCCTCTACTGTGCATAACTTAGTGACTGCAGATCTTGGGAATAGCTATAAAATAAACTATAAAATACTTGAAAATCTTAAATTTTATTCATTTTTTAAAGCTTTCTCACAGAAACCAGGCAGAAAGGACTTAAGGTCATTACAACAGTTTTTACTGATGGCAACCACAGGCAGTGAGGGGTAATATGGTCATCACTCGTGTGATGTGTGTGTGTGGGGGGTGTGCACGCGAGCATGCACGTGCACATCCTTAGAGTCAGGATTACATGGCTACTCAGGACACACTCAAGCAGGCTGTGTGTAACAGTCCTGATTCCCCGTGCTAGAGGAGCAGAATCACCGCTCAGAGAGCACACCATCATGTTAGAGGTGGTATGAAATATGGCTTGTAGTACTTCCCCTGGTTAAAACGAAAAATATTTACTGATCATGAAGATGTAAATGGATTTCCAGGGAAAGGGAAGGGAGAAGGCTTCAATGTCTACTACCAAAATGCTGTCATATCAGAAATGAATCAGTCACCACGGAGGCAGGGATAGGTCAAATAATTGGCCTGTTTACTTCCTCGGCTTTGTTCAGCCTGGGGATTCTCTAGAGCAGCAGTTCTCAACTTGTGGGTCCTGACCCCTTTGGGGGTTGAACGGCCCTTTCACAGGGGTCGCCCAATTCATAACAGTAGCAATGACAGTGATGAAGTAGCAACGAAAATTATGTTATGGTTGGGGGTCCCCACCACATGAGGAACTGTATGGCAGGGTCGCGGCATGAGGAAGGTTGAGAACCGCTGCCCTAGAGACTCGGTGATCCTCCCTGACTCTCATGACCGGTGAGGACTGGATGAGGTGGTCCACGTAAAGTGCTTAGAAAATGGTAGGCACATGATCCACGTGTGCTGTTCACTGCTGCTTAATTTTATTTTCGCAGGTGAAAATAAAGTGTAGTTTTTAAAATAAGAGTTTCAAAATCCTGAGTTAATCATTACAACAGGAATATCTTACTTTATTAAGCTCAACTGAATTCCCTCAAAAACAAAGTGTTCTTCAGGCTCATTTTTAAAGAGAAAGAACATACAAATGGTGAGGGATAGAGCAGGACAATCATCTTATAGTAACGAACACCTTCAAGTTCAGAGTTAATATCATATGCAGAAGCACGGCTGAGAGATACCGGGCCTTGATGTATGTGGATCTTTTTGTTGCTGCTGCAGTTCAGGTTAAATATTATGGGGGAGAGAGAGCTGTGCAAATAAACTAAGACATAAAAGGCCCCAGGGGTTCCAGCTGAGTTCTAATTGATCCAGGCACTGAGGGCTGAAACTTTGCGTTGTAACCATCGGACCGGTGTGAAGACGATGGTGGGGAGCAGCTTCCTCCCGCATTTCTAGTGTGGGAGAGACAAAGAACACTGAGGCAGGATGCAGGGCCGTTTCTATTGGGTCAGAGCCCGGTGGATCTGCCATGACACACAGACCATTCTTCAGGTGCATCACGGAGGCAGTTGGGAAGTCACTCAGATGGCTTTCCAGATCTTGCCACTGAAGAGGATATGAAAGCAGAGTCATGGCAAATCAGCAGTGAAGTACAGAGACGCTGGTGAACAGCAGACGATGGTTAGAGGAAATGCAGCGAGATGAGAAGAAACAGATGCCGACCACATGATACATGGAGATACGTGAAGAGAACACAGGAACTACGTTATAATGACCACTAACACCTTCAACAGATACTTCCCTGACACACGGAGCAACAAGTAAAATGAAGTCTTGAAAAAATACAAAAATAAAACACCCACACAGGTTTTTCATTATACGCAAAACTACGTAGCACAGCCAGACTGTATAAACCATTTGTTTAAAAAAATACCTTCTTTGATAGTGTATGAGTAAGTTGCAAGAGTTCAGTCACTAGTTCACCACCACACATGAGTTTACATACAGAAAGTTCATCTAGATTCTGCAGTTTTTCTTTCCACGAGTCTGCTTTCCTGTATATCTTCAGCAACAATCTGGATTATTAGCACGACCGTTTCTTTAGTAAAGACTTTTCTTTCTGATCTCAGGAGGCATCATCATCAAGACACTACTGGGGTCATATCCCACAACTGTGAAAATAAAATGAAGATAGGTGAGGAATTCAATACGAATTGCGCTAAGGATAAAGAGCACTCAAACTGATTTCTTTAAGTATATGTTTTCATTAAAAATCAACTAAATGCTGTGCTCAGATAATTTTTAATTCTATATCATAAAATATTTTTCTATCAAAAAGTTCAACATAAAGATCAAAAAACCTGACCATGGCAGTTAGAAATTTTGATCCGGCTAAAAGTCAACTGCTGGAAAGCAATCAATGAAAATCCTATGGCTTATAACACTTTTCTGGGCCACACACGATCAGGATGGCGTGGGGCTGGGCAGCATTGCATTCCATTGTGTGCAGGGTCACTGTGAGTTGGGGCTGATGGAGCAACAGCAACAAACAGCAATGGAGAATGGCTGAAGAGGGAAGAGGAACTAACAAAGGCTGAGCACCAAATGGTCCCCGGCAGGTGGTAACCTTTCCACATCTTACCTCATTTAATCTTCCAAACACTCTGACAAACAAAGGAACCCAGGCTCAGAGTTCACTTTGTTGTTAGGGGCTGTGCAGTTAGTTCACTTCATAGGGGCCCTGTGACCAACAGGATGAAACACTGTCCACGCCTGAGCTATCCTCTCAATTGCTGCTCTGGGTGAGCCCACTGCTGCACCCGTCATATCAAGCCATGTCATTGAGGGGCTTCCTGATTTTTTGCTGGCCCTCTGGCTTCTTAGAAGTGAGGCTAGCAGGACTTTGTCTCATGGACTTTGGACATTTTATCAGGAGCCGCCAATCCTTGGAGTTTACCTTAAGCTTCTTCAAAGTCACAAAGGTCTAGTTGATTCCAAAGGGGGTTGTTGTTTAAACCACTGCACTTATTGTTGCCTCCAAAAAGGAGACCTGTGTGGTCTGAGCGAGGATGTGTCTCGGGAAGTGGCACAGGTGTGGTCTTTTCTATCTGAGCCACTGCTGTGGTGCTGATCCTGTGGTCTACCACACTCCTCAGAGAGGCCCTGGATTCAGGCTTTTGAATTAATTGATCTCAGTGGGAAAAGATCTTGTTTATTTCTGTTGGTTGATTCACATCTCTTCAGTCAATGCTCGGCTCAAATCGTACCTTCTTCGCGAAGCCTCTCTAGCAGCCCTATCTTTCCTCCTTGCTGAGCTCTTAAAATCACTCTTGTCTGTGTGACTCTTTGGGTAGGTACCCAGGAGGCCTGGATAATCTCTCTCTTTGAGGGTATGAGGGGCTTCAAAATGTCTATGGAAAAATGGAATTAAAAGATCATTTAATTATCCAGCAACTTTTTGAAGCCTCCTTGTACATCCCAAATAGTTAGCTGCACCTTGCAGGCAGGAGCCATGCCATTTTTTTGTGGCCAGCCAAGTGCTTGGTATGGGCCTTGTCTGCAATGAGCTCTCACACACTGCTCCCTGGCACGGAGAACAATACCTCAGAAGGGCACTCCTGAGTATTCGCATAAAGACAAAAATGAGAAGCTTCAAAAATAAAGCGCATGTCCTACCTTAATAACCTTGTCAGTTCCAGAGGTCAGTAACCACCCTCTGGTTGCATCAAAATGCACGTGGACAATGTTATGTTTACTGTCATGGAAAGTAGCCGTGGGTGCACGTCTGCAAGGAGAAAAGCAGAGGAGACGGTTTCCAAGGGTGACAGGCAAGGGCACAGGGAGGAAGGAGGCTGAGGGGACATTACACTCTAATTTTTGTCCTATTACTAAAATCGCTTAACAGACCTACTGTTATATCTTAGAGACCTGCTTTGTGGATTAAAAAGAAGAAAAGGTGAAACAAACAAACAAACAAACAAAACCCACTCTTATAGTCTCTAAAATGGAAAAAATTTCCAAAAGACCTTCTGGAAGTCCATAAAGTCCCAAAGAAAAGATATCTACCTATGTTTTTTTTAACAAACCTTCACAACAACAAACCATGCTTTTATTAAGTCTGATCACAGAAAGACTCAGCAGTAAAGCATGCTACCTTGGCTTGCATGGTAAAGTCAAAACAAAAGACCCAGCTGAAACGCCGGACAGATCAGAACTGTCCTTCTGCCCTAAGGCCCCTCTGGCCTCTCTCTTCTCACTGGTATAACGGCAGGTTTAGGGTTTCTGCAGTACCTCAATGTTTTAATGAATCAAATATAAACATTATTTGTTTTGTAGTTTATAATTGCTGCTTTTTTTTTTTTTTTTTTAAACTACTGGGCTTTACAAGCTGCCTAGGGGCAAGCACTCCAGAGACGATGCAAACCCTCCCACAGAGGAGAGACTAGAAGCAGCGGGCCAGGGGATACGAAAGGCTCACTGCTTTCTAATCATATTTCCAGTGTCCAGTCTTCAGGGGGTGCTCTGAAGACAGCGATTTCCTCCTTTTCCCCCACAGCGAAATCTGTAGAACAGATCTATAGTGCACTAAAGATGCTACTTTATCATTTTTAGAATTAAAGACATATGCTTACTTTGGAAGTCACCTCAACTCTCTGGGTCTATCTTTACTTATAAAATGAAGCATTAATCTAGAAAATATCTAAGGTCTGTCTCAGCTCTTTTAATTCAGTGAGAGAAGAACTCTCTTAATATCCTCATTATGTATAATGAGTGGAAAATAATCAAATGAATGTAAAACTTACTTCTTAAAAAAAGGATCTCAATTTATATTTGTTATAGGAGAAGAGGAGGCTTTCTCCTCCTGTAAAGTTACTGTCTCAGAAACCCACAGGGGCAGTTCTACCTGGTCCTGCAGGGTCACTAGGAGCTGGAAGCAACTCGATGACAGTTAGTATGGTTGCTATACATAAATATGAATGAAAGAATATAAACTAGGACTTCTTCTTGGTTCGAACCTTGTGTTAAGGTGGGGTCTTAAAGATGCCACCAAAAAAAAACAAGGATTGCTTGGCTTCCACCTTGTGGTAACCAGAAACCAAACTTACTGCTATGAAATCGATTCTGATTCATAGCAACCCTGTAGGGCAGAGTGGAACTGCCCCGTGGGCTCCTGAGACTGCACCTCTTCATGGGATAGAAAGGCTCATCTTTCTCTTTAGTGGCTGGTGCTTTCAAACTGCTGACCTGGTGGTTAGCAGCCCTATACATAGCCCACCATACTACCAGGACTCCTCCTTGAACTAAGTTGGAGTCTTACAATTGCTTTCAAGGAAATAAAGGACGTGGCTTGATTCACACCCTCTACTAAGGCCAGATCTTTTTTTAAAACATAAATCACGTTAATAGGGACTCTTACAGCTCTCATAATAATCCATACACCAATTATATCAAACACATTTGTACATTTGTTGCCATCATCATTTTCAAAACATTGTCTTTCTACTTGAGCCCTTGGTATCAGCTCCTCTTTTTTCCCTCCCTCCCCCACTCTCCTACCCTCGTGGGAAACCTTGATAAATAATAAATTATTATTATTATTATTTTCATATCTTACACCGCCCACTGTCTCCCTTCACCTACGTTTCTGTTGTTCATTCTCGGAGTAGGGTGGTATTTATACATCAATCACTGTGATCGGTTTCCCCTTTCTCCCCCTTCCCCTCTACTCATGGTATCACTACTCCCAAGATTGTCCCTGAGGGTTTAATTGTCCTGGATTCCATGTGTTGAGAGCTCTTATCTGTACCAGTGTACATGCTCTGGTCTAACTGGATTTGTGAGGTAGACCTGAGGTCATGACAGTGGCAGTGGGGGAGGGTGCTGGAAGTATTTAAGAACTAGAGGAATGTTGTGTGTTTTGTAGGTGCTATACTGCACCCTGACTGGTTCGTCCCTTCCTTGTGATCCTTCTAGGAGGGGATGCCCAACTGTCTACAGATGGGCTTTGGGTCTCCACTCCCACCCCATTTGTTCACATGAGTATGATTGTTTTGGGTCTTCTGATGCCTAATACCTGATCCTGTTCTACACCTCATGATCATATAGGTTGGTGTGCTTCTTCCATGTGGGCTTTGTTGCTTCCCTGTTAGATGGCCCCTAACTACAAGCCTTTAAGACCCCAGATGCTATATCTACTAATAGCCTGGCACCATCAGCTTTCTTCACCATATTTGCTTGTGCACCCATTTTGACTTCAGTGATCGTGTCAGGAAGGTGAGCATCACAGAATGCCAGGTTATTAGAACAAAGTGTTCTTGTGTTGTAGGAGGATTTGAGTAGAGGCCCAATGTCCACCTGCTATAAGGCCAGATCTTCAGGCTACCCAATTCCTATCCTTTAGTAGAGAATGCCCTCCAAAATGGGACTATAGCCAGAGGTGTATAAAGTCCAGAATTATAATATATCATATGAGGAATTATGGCTTGAAGAGTTACATTAATTGACTCAGGATATCTTTAAAAAGTTGCAGGAAAGTAGAAACACATTAAAAGTGCATCAGAGGAGGTGCACAAGGAAAGGAAATTCTTGGTAAATTACAAAGAATGCTCTTGCTTTCCTTGGACATATAATGGTACCACTATACAGTTCTAACACACATCACCGCACCCAGAAAGCCAGACCTTTATTTCATGACCGAGCTTTGGCGAAAGCAAAGATTTGTTGTAACTTTTAGGCATTTTTAGTTTCCGGCTCTGGACCTGCATTTGGCTCATCTCTGCCTATCTTTGGATTTTGGACTGAACAGCACCCACCACCACCCTCCCACTCCCACGTAAGACATTTCCTCAAAGTTTGTTGAGTTTCTGTGGTATGTCACAGCGAATTGCACAACCCTGGGAAGTGAGGGGACTCTACTCAAGGGAGAAGGGTGGGGAGGGGTGGCTAGGAGAAAATAGAGCAGAAAAGCCTCTTGAGAGAGTTGGGCTTTGGGTGCACTGTTCATCTCCAGTTCCCTGAGAGTAGTCTGGTTTAATTCTGTTAGACGAAATGATCACCACAATTCCCATTTATGCTTAAAATGGTCTTATTATCAACAGAGTGGGGGGGTGGCTGTGAATGGAAGAGTAGGAAGAAAGGAGGATGTTTCTTGTAACCACCCACTTGATGCCATACAACACTGAGATGCGGTTGAGCCAAATCCACAGAACACTCCACAGGAATGAGATGGGAGCCTTCCTGGAAAGCTACACTTAGGGAGGGAGCCTCGAGATTTCAGAGGAGGCATTTAGACGTCTGTTGGCAGACAAATGGGGAAGAGCAACTTCCCACAAGGCAGGCTGCTCTACAACAAATACAGGCAACCCAAGGGGAGAGGAAGCCCGGCACTGCGCTCCTGGCGAGACAATTTTGAATTAGGGTCTATCCGAGCCTCCGAAAACCACACCACTACCATGATCTTAAATTCTGTCCTTTCGGGGAACATGGCATTCCTCATAGGCTACACTAGAAGGACTTGACAAGGAAACCCCACTGAAGGAACTGACCTTGACCTCAAAATTCCCTGTAGTCCTTGGACTTAAGGCTGAAATTTCCTGGTGTGAGAAGAAACAAATGGTGGCCATGCCAAGGCTGAGAAATTGGTGGTCGTTCGACCGTGGTTAGGATCCCTAGCTTTGTGGGCATTCATTGAAAGGTGGCCCACAGCCACCAACTATTCATTCTTTTAATGCCCTCCTTGCCTTAATATGACCTGTATTAATCTGATAGGCAAGTTTCTACCTTTGTAAATGAATGGTAGTAGAACACTTCCCTAGCATCCACCTCCCTGGTCAATGTAAACAAGGCTCCATCATTTAAGAATCCAACTCTGGGGACTAACTTAATTATTTAACTCTTGGGAAGACACCAGCTTGGGCCAGAAAGTGAACCTGGGCCCTGCCCTTGTGGGCAATTCCTAAGTAAATAGGCAGACAAAAGAGTTGGTGACAAGACCCTCGTAGCCTGTGTAGTAGTCACTTTGGGGATTGAGGAGCACACAAACAGAACTTCTTTGAGCATCTCCTCCGTATCTCACAAGACAGCACAAATCCTGTGGTAGAAAAGAAGGGCTCTTACCCTTGCATGGTCTAGATTCTAAACCTGCACGCAGTAAGGCAGTATTAGCCATGCTGCCGCACTGAGGGCAGCTCTCAAATTAGAGCCTTCTTGGCCTTGAGAATTCTGCCGACTGCTGACACTTACTCTTCATCCGTGATGGACTCGTGGCAGCTGTCACAGACCCGCACTTCAAACTCGAAGCCCATCAAGGGGATGGAGGAGCGCTTGGAGCTGCATTTGCCACAGACGGCTTTTCCGCACTTGCGGCAGTGGTGCTGGAGGAGGACAAGAAGGCAGGTGTTCATTATGGCTCCTGAGTTTCACCCTCCCTGGGTAGATTCAGGGGTGACCAACATCATTGATGTCAGAAGGCTAGACAAGGGTGGCCCAGAAAATCCGAAGGAAAACCCTTTTTCGTACTTTGTTGGTTCAGGACAAAGACTGTCGGGGAAACACATCTGACTGAGCCACATTCCTGTTCTACTCCGTTCTCCAGTGTCTGGAAAAGACGAGCCCTCCTACCCATATAGAGACTTATAGTCTCAGAACCCACGGGAGCATGTCTCCCCTGTCTGACAGGGCTGCTGTGCGTCAGCATTGATGAGAAGGCAGTGAGTTTTTATTTTATCCTCTATCTTGGGTGCGTTCCAAATGTGACTCTAGGAATTCCAGAGGAGTCACCAGTGGCCAGGCTGTCTTACAGCTATGTGCCCAGGGGCTGCCATCCCCCAAGAGTAAGCTGCTGGATGAAAAGGAACATGGATGAAAACGGAAACCAGATCCACTCTCCTGCCTATACTTATTGCATGGTCAATCTATGTGGACTAACATTTGATTTTCTTGAGGAAGGCTAATCAAACATTGGGACTCTGGTTGAGAATACGGCATTACAAATAACTAAATAACTAAAAGCAAGAGAGATGAAGTAAAAATTAATAATTAAAGATAAATAAATACCACCTATGTAATTTCGTGATTTGGTACTAATATGAGTTAAATAAGCAAGACCATTTAAATTTTAAGTGTACTTTAATAGATGGTACTAGAATGCTAAAGTAACACCTGTTCACACTAACTAAGAGCAAATCACTACAACATTCCAATCTGAATCTATTAAAAATGAGCTACAGTAGGCAACAAGCAGCCTTGGTTCATTATGGGTCAGGCATTGGGAAGCTAACCTCACAGTGAGCAGTTCAAACCCACCAGGTGTTCCAAGGGGGAAATATGAGGTTGTCTGCTCCCATAAAGACTGATAGCCTTGGAAACTCTATGTACAGTTGCTAGGAATTGGGATTAACTCAATGGCAGTAGATTACAGAAGATAAAGGGAGTGAAACTAATGTCGTCCAAACAGGACTCACAGAATTTACCCCACCATAACTCTCGCCAGGGCCTGCTACTTCGCCTAAGATCATAAGGGCAAGTTATTTCCACACTATTACATACATTTACATGCAAATTCATATCACCAACCTGTCTTAAGCCAATTTTCTTATTGTCCCACATTTGCTTGAAGTTCCAAAAGAAAGGCTGGTCACACTTTTGGCAGGAGTCACTGTCCAACCATTCAGGGGTCTTGTCAAACAAAGCAGACAGCAAGTGACAATGAGAAGCATGGCAAACACACACCAGTGACTATGCAACCATTCAAGCACTCCTTATTGACTGTCTACTCTCCACCAGCCATGGAGATGGACTAGTGGATAAACGGAATCCTCCAAGAATGGGGCTTGCAATTCGTCGGGGAAGACCAAACATGGAAATATCAGACATAGTGATTATTTAAACAAGCAATGTGTGTGAAGGCTGAGGAAGAGAAGCATGTAGTGCTATGAGAGTGCTGTACCAGGTAGCTCCAACCCCTGGTAAATGACAGTGCACCAGAGATTAGAAAGACAGCTGGGAGGATGCTTTGCAAAAGGGGCTGAGAGAGACCAGGGTGGTTAGCTTGTAGAGAAGATCAAAGGGACAGGCAGGGTCTTAACAGCCAGGTTAAAAGTTTAGGTCTTAATCTCCTACTTTCTGATCATATGCAATTGTATTTGCTTTGATAATGGACAGTTACATATAACGGCATAGGCACCCTGGTGGCACAATGGTTAAGTGCTCGAAAGGTTGGTGGTTCTTACTCACCTGGTGGCGCCACAGGAGGAAGACCTGGTGGTCTGCTCTCATAGGCTAGTTCTACTCTACCAAATGGGGTAATTTGAATTAAAGATTACTCACCAGCACCTAGCAACAGCGATACATACGATAGCACATTATGCCTACACAGAGCTATTACGTAACAACATGATGGAGCCAAAGTGATGCCTCAGGAAAGGCACTGCCCACGGTCCGTTCCTATCTGGACCCAGTTGGAGGCTGTGCTTCTTACCTCCTAAGTCATGCTAGTCTTGAATTGTTCAATATTCCTCACCCCAATCACGAACATTAGAACCCAGGACAAACAGGCTTAAGAGCCTGCTCATTTTAAGCAATTTTTCAGCAAAAAGAAAAAATAAGTTTTAACCCTATAAAATTCATCATTTGGCAAAGGGATTCATCTCTTTCCATATGAGAGGTCACAAGAACCCTAGAAAAGCTCATCCAGCCCAGAGGGGCACATAAGTGAATTCTAAGCAATAGTAGCCGCATAAGGAGCCTACTGTAAAAGACCCCAAACTATAACTTTTACTGAAAAAGTTAACTTTTTAGTAGCTCTAGTCTTGGTCTAAAGGGGCCCTGGTGGTGCTGGGAGCTGCTAACTGCAAAGTTACCAGTTCAAACCCACCAGCCACTTCTTAGAAGAAATATGAGGGAGGATGGCTGCTCCCATTTAGCTTTGGACACCATTTACAGGGTTCACTGTTTATCTTACTGAAATCAAAGAAAAGAAGCCTTATTAGTTTGCAATTTTATGCCTTTACCAGCTTAAAGACAAATTTAATATTTAAAAAGGCCTCACTTATCTATGCTGTGATTCTTCAAAATGCATATGATGTAAAAAATCAGGAATAATCAAAACAAAAAACCGATCAGGAATCTATTTTTCTCATAAATATATCAAGTATGTTTACAGACTATAATCAGATGGAATTAGTCAAAGATTTCTGGTGTCCTGAAAAATGGAATGAACCTATCTAAGTATTTCACACATTTAAAAAAAACATACCAATCTGCTTCATAGGGAATTAAGGGAACTCTATTAATTTTTAAGGGAACTATCTTTAAAATATCGGTTTATTATCATTAAAATGATCTAAATGCTAAGACCTATGTCCAAAATTATCTATGGGATCAACCCAAAGCCAATCAAAATTCTAACAGCTTTCTCTATATAAAGAGGAAACCCAACCCTCAACTTTATATTAAGGCAAGAAGCTCTGGCTAGCTAAACCAATGCTAGAACCAATCAGGAGGACTCCTACTTCCTTATTCCAATACATATTACACAGCTACAGTGATCAAAACAGTCTGATACTAGAATAATAACAGAGACCTAGATCAATGGAATAGAGTTGAGAGGCCAGAAATAAACCCACACATGAATGGTGACCTAATTTTTGACAAGGAAGCTCAGTCCAGTGGATGCGAAGAGAAGAGGCTCTTCAGTCAAAGGTGCTGGGAACATTGAATATCCACGCACGAGAAAACAAATGAAACAAATAGAATTCTTGTCTCACATCATACACAAAACAAATTCAAAACGGATTAAGGACCTAAATGCGCAGATTAAAACCATAAAATTCATAGAACAAGCCAGGGCAATGCTGCCAGGTCTAGTTTTCAGTAGAGGATTATCTAATAAAATAATAAAAGCACAACGAGGAAAAGACAAAATAAATAAACGGGGCCTCATAAAACTGCAAAACTTTGGTTCATCAAAAGGCTTTACTAAAAACGGTAAAACAACAGGCTACCATCTGGGAAAATATCTTCCTAAACCATATATCCAACAAAGATCTAATAACTAAAATATATGTAAAACCTAACAACAGAAAGACAAACAGCCCAATCATACAATGGGCAAAGGTTTTGAATAGACATTTCACCAAAGGCAGGCACATGGAAAAATGCTCAGCATCATGAGTCATAAGAGATGCAAATCAAAACCACAATGAGATATCACTGTACTCTTACTAGGATGGTTAACATAGAAACAACAGTATAACGAATATGGGTGAGGGTAAGGATACACTGGAACCTTTTTCTATTTCGGATGGGAATGCAAACATCTTTTAGGTCAAATTTAATGCACACGCGTGCGTGCATACACACACACACACACACACACACCATGTCTTCATCAAGGATGCATGCATGTTTAGGGGTTTCTATGAGGAGAGACTGAATTATGAACGTGAACCCTGCTTGCAATCTACCGTCAATATTTACTTCTGTTTCTCCTTTGCCTAAAGAGCCCAGGATGCTCCTGGGCACAGCACATACAGTCCCTGTCCGTCCTTCAGCACTATCCTCCTCTGCAAACCCTTCCCTGAGATCTTAACTAACTGTGGTAGCCTACGCCCTTCCTAAGTACACAGCACTACTACTTACATCAGCGGTAAGTGACTGAATAGTTCATAGCATCTAGTCACAGTCCGGTAGCATAATGGGTTAAACATTGGGCTTCTACTTGCAAGGTCAGCAGTTTGAAACCATCAGCCACTCTACAGGAGAAAAATACATCTTTTTCCTCCCATGAGGAAAACCCACAGGGGCCCTATTGGGTACCTATAAGTAGCAAGTGACTAAATGTAGTGATTATCTTTTCTGTCGGCAGTGCAAGGTGCAGGTGGCTTCACATACATGTCAGACTTCCCACAGAGATCAAAGCACAGTGCTAGGCCTAACTATGAAGGAACTCCACTGATACAGATTTTTTGTTGTTGAAAAATCACTCATGTGATTTGTTTATAAAATTTGACACAGGTGACAGGGAGGGTAAAGGGAGAATGGGTAGGAAAGAGGGAACTGATTACATGGAACTGTGTGTGACCTCCTCCCTGGGGGACAGACAACCGAAAAGTGGGTGGGGGGAGACGTCGGACAGGACAAGATATGACAAAATACCCATTTATAAACTATCAAGGGCTCATGAGGGAGGGGGGAGCGGGGAGGGAGGGGAAAAATGAGGACCTATTGTCGGGGGTTTAAATGGAGAGAAAATGTTTTGAGAAACGATGTACAAATGGGCTTTACACAATTGATGTGTGTATGGATTGGGATAACAGTTGTATGAGCCCCTAATAAAATGTTAAAAAAAAAAAAGTTGTAAACCATAAAAAAAAAAAAAATTGACACAGGTGAAAAGTTACAGAACTATTCTCCTTGTGTATTTAAAGCTTTACGATAATTTAATATCCCTCAACAAGTATTCAATACCCACGCACCAGCAAGTCAAGATGCACAGTTGAAGCAAAAGGGCTCTAAGGGTTCCCCAATAACCGTCTAGTATATAGGTTGTCCCCAAACTTATTAGGCCTACCAGCTCTTTTTCAGAAAACATAACAACAAAATCACAAAAAACGAAAAATAACTACTCGGTGTTCCCTTGGCAATTGAAAATGTTTGTATGACAGACTGTACTAAAAATTCACTGCCACGGGGTCAATGCTGGCAGCCCCCTAATGAGCCCCTGGGAGTCCCCAGCCCATAATTGTTGGTGGGATTACAAAGCCCCATCGTTCTGCTGGTTTCGCACCGCTGACCATGCTGACTGCAGGCCTGCGCTTAGCCACTACATGAGCAGGGCTCCCATAATCCAGGATAAAATGTAGGTATCTGCTTGTGTAGCACTCCCTGGATGGTACCAGCTTCCCCTACAGGGCGGTCTGGCCCATTTTGGGAGCCACTGATCTAGTATCTCTAGAGACCACACAAGTGTCCTTCCCTGGAACTGTGTCCACGATCCAAGTGACACAAATCCAGCCAATTCCCCTCCCTTGATCTGGTCAGCTGGCCCTGGAGTAGTCAGGCCCTGCCCCCTGTGACTGCCCCTAACCCATCGTAGGGAGGACTCTGCCAGCACACAGTCCTTGGTCAACAGCCTGGCACAGAGTCCAGCTGGGACACGCTGGACCACACAGTCACAGTGTGCCTGCCTTCATGCTCTTAGTGCCACATTGTCCTTTTCAAAAGCAACATGATGCAACATCCATGTCCTAACAGTTATGATCATCTTAATTAGTTACAATTTGAACTCCCATGGATTTATGGCTTAAGCAAACAATGCTTTAATCTTTTTAGGCATGAATGACATTTGAAAGGCATTTCATTGTGGGCAGTCGCTACTCCTGTCGTGAAATGAGACTGGGGGAGGGTATCGGGAAAAAACCCTGGGAAATACCTTTTGTCTTAACTTTTAGTATTTCTTTTCTTTCTTTTTTTCCATTTTTATTGGGAGCTCTTACATCTATTATAACCATCCATAGTTCAATTAAATCAAGCATGATTGTACAATTGTTGCCACCATCATTTTCAAAACATTTTCTTTCGTCTTGCACTCTTTGATATCAGCTCCCTTTTATCCCAACCCTCCCCCACTCTACCCTCCCAGAACCCTTGTTATTATATTAATATTATTAGTTTCCTTTCTATCTATCTAATCCTTGTGCCCTGTAAAGGAACAAATGAGAGCAATACACACTGTCAAAGAGAAGGTCTGCCCAGAATAATCCCGGGGGAGTAAGAAACTGGTAAACTGGAAAGTGCTTCTCAGATGGGACATTCAGAAAACACATCAGTTGCTAAGATGCTCAGAGATGAAAAAGGTAACTTCATAAAAAAGAACACTACAATACATGTAAGTATTTGCTTAAAAAGAGAACAGCATACTCATAGAATTATATATGGAGAACTGTTTCCAAAGTCACAGAGAAGCACAAAGATAATTATTTCTATTAAATTCCAAACTAAGGATTCTTCCCTTTATTAAATAACATTCCTCACACCCTAGCTACCATTTTCCTTAGTAACTGAAAGTACACGAGTTTTCTGGTTTCCGTGGGTAGTTTAACCAAAGGGCTAATTGCCTGAAAATAAATTATTCCTTTTTCTCACTTGTACTTTTGTAGCAATTAGTATAGGCTATTTAAAGTCTAAATAGCTTCATCTATATGAAAATTATTTTTAAATATTATTAATTAGGATTCAATACATATATCATTCCATAATTCAATTACATCCAGCAGGCTTGTACAACTGTTACCACAGTCAGTTTCCAAGCATTTTTTCCCTACATGGACACCTTTTTATCACCTCCTCTTCAACCCCCCACCACACTGTCCCCCTCCCCCCAAAACCCTTATTCTACTTGCTGCCTCTATAGGTTTGTCAATCCTGGATTTCATACACCAAAAAATGGGGGAAAAACATGTAACACAACTTCAAGAGCGTGATCTCCAATGACATGACACTTCTGAAATATACCCTAATATGTACAAACAAAAACCAAACCAAAAATACACCAAATGTTGGAAACCAGATCAGGTGAAGTATGCATCTTCTGTGGGAATCTACAAAGTTTTAACTATTCAAGTCAGTTTTATGCCTCTGATCACTCTGTTTAGTAACCCCTTTCCTTGCATCCCTCAATTGTGGACAGAGGGGGTTCACTGGAGGCTTATTTCCCATGTAGTTTCACAAATGAATCTTGGGCTCCCACTGTCATTCATTGCCTTCTGCACACCTGATTCTCACAGTCTATGCTCTGATACAAATTCCTCCTTTACCTTCAGATGACCTGGTTCACAATCCTTTGATGACTAATGGTGGTGTGACTTCTTCCCTGTGGACTTACTTGGCATCTGACTTAGCTGGCTGCTTGTTTGGAGACAAGCCATTAAGACCTCAGATGCTTTCTATGTGATAACCGGGCACCATCTAATTTCTTTACCACGTTCTGCTAGAGCAAGTCTCCTGTGTTCCCTTCCTGAGGGTGTCGCATAGGTCCATGTACATCAAAATTCCTATGAAATTTCCATTACACTAATGTCACATGCCAATTTATGAAAATAAGACACTCTTTTGTAATATAACACTCTATTTGCTGACACAGCATGTCATAATTGTAGCTTACATGAAATAAGAAACAAACAATCAAATGGTGCTGAGGGGCTTTCCCACAGCACCCACATGTAGAACCCAAGCCAGCTGTGGTAGAAGGAGAGACCTCCAGCCTGTGTGGCACCCACCTCCTGCCGCTGAACATCCATATTCCAGACAACAATGCCGCCATCACAGCCACAGGAAATTAGCTGCCGCGTGTGCTGGGCATAGGAGAGGGCCTGGACTTTGTCACTGTGAAAGAAAACAGGGGGAGTAACACATCAGAAGGGCAAGAGACGGGCCCAGCGGTATAGACAGTAACCAAGTCTACCAGTGCACACTCACTGCCAGTCACTGGTGGTGTGGTTCATAGATGCATGACTTCATTTTCGATATGCTAATAAGTAGATGGAGTCCTTGGGTGGCACAAACGGTTAAACACGGGGTAACAACCAAAGTGTCCGTGGTTCCAATATACCCAGAGGTTTCTCAGAAGAAAAGCCTGGTGATCCGCTTTCAAAAGCCAGTTCTGATGGGGTGGCCATGAATCACAATAGGCTGACAGCAGCTGCGTGATATTTAATGGTAAGCAGAGTATCCGTGGTTCAAATTCCGTCAAAAGGATTCTCTACACTGAGGTGCCAGTGAGAGGCAGCCTTGCCAGTCCCTCGCGCTGACTGGAGAAACATCGACTGTTTTCCTGGCTGTAACATACTGATGGTGCTCTCCTACCCTACTGTAAACTGCTGGCACAGGTTCTTTCGACAACTGATCAAGAGCCATCATTTCATTTTTCCTTTTAAAATATGTTTCGCGAGCTTTGGAGGCCATCCTCCAAGACGCCCATGGGTCTATCTGACAGCGCGGGTGACGCTGCTTTCCAAAGAGCTCCCATGAGCGGCTTAAGTCCCCGCGTCTCTCCTTTTGGCTGCCAGAGTCAACACATAGTAGCGTAGGTTTTCTCTGGTTTTTATTCGCTACTGATTCTGTTATTTAGTTTTGCTTCTAGTTTGTCCATGGCTGACAAATTATTCCTTCTTAGTGCCTGCAGTGATGGAGAATTTTGGTTTTATGGTCTGATAATTTGGTAATTTCTAACCAAGAATCAGAGAGGGAAGAGAGTATGTGGTTTCTTGGCCTTTGATGTTTGTTAGTTGTCTGTTTTGAGCTCAAAATAATTAAGAATTTGGTGCCTTCTGGAAGAATCTTTTTGATACTGGATAGGAAAGTTTTTGTGTACGTTTCTGTGTTAACTCTCAACCTGCAGCGGAGGTTGTAAAATTGTGTCTTACCATAATTCAGGAAGCCTGGTACCTCTGGCTGTATATGAAATGCTCCCCTATTTCCAGATGGTACCAATAAATTAGATTATAACAGAATAGAATTTGTTCTGATTGCTTACCTTAAAGTAAAAATCCATAGAAAATAGATGTTGAATTCCTAATACTTTAAAAGTGCTAGACTTAAAAATAAATTCTCCTTACAGAAACTATTAACCAACACAATCACATATTAAAAATCCATATTAAAAAATCAAGGTAACTCTTTGGCAAATGAGATGAATAGATTAGGTTTTTTTAAAAGTTGTATCTGGAATCTAATTTATCAGTGTTGACAAAAGTACATTATTTTACTTAGGAATATTTCTCCTAAACTTAGAAAAGATTACTGGTCAAATCAACCAATGTTGTTGTTAACTGCTATCAAGTTAGTCTCCAAGTCATGAAGACCCGGTGCACAAAGAGCCCACATCACTGTGATTTAATAGGGTTTTTACTGGCTGACTAAAAAAAAAAATCACCAGCTCTTCTTCTTACCTCATCATAGTCTCGAAGCTCCATTAACACCTGCTGGGAATCATGACAACATTTATGCTTCCAGTGAAAGATGGGTGGTTGGCTGAGGTGCACTGGACTGGTCTCACATTTAGAGGTGAGAATTCAACCACTGAATCACCACTTACCTTAAGCAAATAATTCTCCTATATAATGTCTACATAGATCTCTATAGATATATTTTATTAGAACTCATGTTAAAATGTTTTTATATGAGGCTTCAAGAAGTTTATGGAAAAATGGAATGAAAAGATCGTAAAATATTCCCACAAACTTTTGTAATGTATTAATTTAAAGAGAATTTTTAAAAATCATTTTATTAGGGGTTCATACAACTCTTATCACAATCCATACATACATCGATTGTGTAAAGTGCATTTGCACATTCATTGCCCACATTATGCTCAAAACATTTGCTCTCCACTTAAGCCCCCGGCATTCGGTCCTCATTTTCCCCTCCTTCCCCGCTCCCCCCTCCCTCATGAACCCTTGATACTTTATAAATTGTTATTTTGTCATATCTTGCCCTGTCCAACATCTCCCTTCACCCTCTTTTCAGTTGTCCGTCCCCCAGGGAGGAGGTCACATATAGTTCCTTGTAATCGGTTCCCTCTTTCCAACCCACTCTCCCTCTACCCTCCCAGTATCACCACTCACACCATAAAGTGAATTTCTTAAGAGTACTTTATACAGACTATTACATTGAATTAATTGATGGATAATCATTGTTAGATGTTGTATAGTCAGTTCAAATTCATAGTGGCCCAATGTCCTACACTGTCTTCACAGTCATTGGCAGTTTTAAGTTCACGGGCATAGCCAGTGTGTCAATCCATCTCGTCACGTCACGGGTTTCCTTTGTCACTGATCTTCTACTTAACAAGCACAATGTTCTCATCCGGGGACTGGTAACACCTGATAACATGTTCAAGATATCTGAGTTGAAGCTTCACAATCCTCATGTCTAAGAAGTGTTCATGCTGTATTTCTTCCAAGACAGATATGTTTATTTTTCTGCAAGTCCATGATATAATCAATATTCTTGCTGATACCATATAATTCTTCTTCAGTCTTGCTTATTAATTTCCAGCTTTGCATACACATGAGGTGATTAAAATACTATGACTTGGGCCTGAAGTATCTCAGTCGTCAAAGTGACATCTTTTGCAGCATATTTGCCCAATCTAACATGTTGTTTGATTTCTTGACTTCCATGGGCACTGACTGTGATCTAAGTAGAGTGAAATCCCAGGCACGTTCAATATTTTCTATTTATCATGATGCCGCTTATTGGCCCAATTGTGAGGATTTCTATTTTATATTGAGATGTAATCCATATTAAACCCTCTTCATTTCAGAATGAAAATGCAGGTTGTGTTATTTGCACATCAAAGACTATCAATGAGTCTTACTTCAATCATGAAGTTGAGTTCTTCTTCAGATAGCCCAGCTTCTTGGATTATTTGCCCACCATACAGATTAGATAAATATGTTAAGTATGTAACACTGACAAACATCTTCTCTGATTTTAAGCCACACAGTATTCCTTTGTGCAACAAACAGTCTCTTGGTCCATGCACAGGTTTCACAGGAGTATAACTTCTGGAATTCTCATTCTTGCAGTGTTATCCATAGTTTATTATGCCATCGAATACTTTTGCACAGTCAATAGAACACAAGTAAACTTCTATCTGGTTGTGGTAGTTATGTAATCTGGTGTCTATTTGGGATTTGAGAGGATTAAGAGTGCAGGCCCAGAGTCTAGTCTATCAATCGGGCCATAGCCAATGAGGCCTCTGTGTGGGCATGATCTTCTCCTGAGGATCCTGGGAACTCCTGTATTTTCCTCCTTGGAGGTAGGAGGGAGTCTCTCTCTCTCTCTTGGTTCACTCCCCGAGAGAGTCTCTACTGACAAGACACATGGAACTATACTCGTGCCCTGAGCTGGTATAGCCATGTGCAGACCCCAGCCAGAGCTGAGATGCTTAGCTGGATCCACAAGACTTCCCACCCACTGGCCTGTGATGTTCCTGCATTTGGAGTCATTGCATGTGTTTCATGAGTCTGAAGAGGACTTTAAAGATTGGTATCGGAGATATGGGCTAATAGATTTGTGGACTTGATCTGGACTGGGCTGGGATATTTTCTCAATATTCAATATTGAGAAACTATTTACTGGACATCCTCCCTTGTTCTCTAATTTTGAGACTAAACACACCCATGAAAGCTTGTAAGCCAGCTATTTCACGCATTTATCACCCTTTGCTTTAGATAGTTAATATCTAAGTTGCCCTTCCTATCAACCCAGTACTTTGCAGAGACAAGCAAGATGAGAAGAATCTTCGTTACAGTTGGACTGCATCCATAAGCAAAGTCTAGTTTAGAATAGGCATCTTCCAGCAGTTTATACCAGTTCACAGTAATATATATCTTTCTTTCTTCGGTTGGTTGGCTTCTCATCACTAGCCATCCTTAGATCAAATGAGCACCAGTAGCAAGCTCAAGATTCACACCTACCCCCCTGCACTTTAGATAGCTGGCCCCTTCACAGATGCAAAATCTATACGCCCTTTAAACTTTCCACTAGCTAGCAGCTCTTCTTCTTCTCTCATCTTTAGCATCTGTGAACCAGGCCAACAGAGACTAATGTAGCATGTCCAAACTCAGCCTGTTTCTTTATTACTGCACTATCCACATTCAACAAATGCATCTAGGTGCTCAGTTTCCTCTGCTAGACACAGATCTGCCCAGGTTAGGTGCCTCCAAAAGCAAACTTGCTTGCTAACATTCCAGCCTGATGCTCAAGGTTCTTGGTGGGACTGTTTGCAGGTAAGCCCCCTTACTTATCTTAAAACAAAAGCCTGCTTCTTTTGGGTAATTTCAAACCCCTCTTTAGCAAAATTGAATCAATATAGGCTGAAATTTTGATTTACATGCTCCCTCTAATCATAATTCCCAATATCCATTTCTATAGCACATACATGTCTACTTTACAAAACAAGGTAGGAGAAAACGGTATCTGTAATGCAGTCACCTACAATCTTTTTTTAAACACTCAAGTTCATTATTCTTTTCACATTCATATAGATATGGCCACAGGGCCCTGGTGGAGTATATTCCTCATCCCTGGCCTTCTATCAGTCATTTTGTTCAAAGAATCTAGATTTGGCTCCAGGCATCTCCAAATGTGGCGTTTCTCCCCAAGCTGCAGTTTAATCCCTTACATTCCTTTCATCCACTTCAGGTAAAAATAACCAAATAAACTACCTCATAAGCAATGACACATTTCATTTCCCTAGCCATATTCATTTTTTCTCTTAAAAAACCCCCATTCTCTCATGAATCTGAAGGCATTGCAAGGAATCTCACTACTGACTCCAAATGCAGACTATGGCTAGGAAATGGGTCTTATCTGAC